AAAAAAAGCACAAAACATGCAGGTAATAATTCAATGAATGCATTTCTATTTATATTTGCACAATGAAAATATTACAAGCATCAAAGTAGGGAACGTTTATCAAGGTTCAGTAGCTTGATCTCCTACACCGATGTCGTTAGGTTATTCCAAATCTTCAATTAGTAGACAATGGATCTGTTCATTTTTCCGACTTTCTCACATGTAAGACAAAACGGTGGTGGTACGTTCACCGTTATCAACATTAGTGTACGTATCCCTTTTCTTCATCGTTGCCCGCATATGTAGTCACTATGTGGGGAAATCCCTTTTGCGGATATTTTCTACTAAGGTCTGAGCCTAACTTGGAGAAGTGGTAAGAATAATGAGAAGTATTTGTGGGATAAAGAATTTATACGAGCTTTCTCTTTTATTTATTTTAGGAATGGACATCTAACACAGGTATCATCCAACCCGTTTCCCATGGAAAATCGTGACGGGCGGAAACGGCTTATTATAGAGATTCCTGCATTGATGATCTGCGAACATTTAATATTTAAACAAAGTTTTAGCTATTAATGTCTGGACTACGCCCTCGGAAGCCAAAAGGCGTTTACAGCTGTCCATTACAAGCATTGAGTTGCGTTAGGCGGAAGATTGACAGCGAATCGCATGCCGCCCGTCGATTCTACCAACCCCCACCCCGGCACAGATTAATGGGTGTAGAATTTTTCAACACAGCCCGATATAGAAAGCAAAGCAGGACCTGGTGCAACCATCGAGGTCGTCGACATTGACGGAGGACAGAGGACAGAGGAGGAAGGATGGAGGATGGAGGAGGATGGATGGGAGGACACGGTCAATGAGCGGACCTCGGATGGTGTTCCGTGTCGTCCGTCCTCGGGAGGCTGCAGCTGCAGTCACCACACTAGGCCCAGCCAACCGCCTGGATCGACCCACTCAATTCATCCCCATCCCTGACTTCTGACCCGTCGTTCTGCCACCTCCCCCCTTTTTTTCCCTTCTTACATAACCCTAACTGCGCGTCTACCTTTCTCTATCTCGGGCACTTTCTTTCGTTCCTATCCCCCCCCCTCCCCCCCTCTTTCCCGTTGTCCTAGTCATCTGTTTCTACATGACCTTCGACACCACTGCTAGCAAATCCGCAATCGCAACTGTTACAAAGTGGGCGAAGAATCAACTCAACCGACCGCGTAAAACTGCCCAGCCTTCGCAGCCAGACTGGTCCATGTCAACTGTACAGAACGACGCACAGCAATACACGACACAACAAGATGCGAAGGAGAGCATGTCTTTCGACGAAAACCACCAGGTCATCGTACACAGCATTCAGGCCCTCAGCTTGGACACACCAGCAGAAAAGCCAGCGAAGCACATTCCTTCATTCTTCGACAAATTTTTCAAATGGCGAAAGTGCTCTGACGCGACCAACCTCTCGGAGCTTCATGAGGACGTCACCGACCAGGTTCCGGAGACTGACTCTGTGATGGGCATTGCTGGCTCATTTCTCCTGACGCCAGACCTACAAGCGTATCTCGCCAGTTTAGCAAAGTTGTTGAGATATCCCACGCCTCACTACACCTTCCACGTTGCGGAACTGAAACAAGATGAGTGCGCCTCGCTATTTATCCAACCTCCTCCTCCTTCTTACGGTGACTCATTTATGGACCGCTTCGTGGCTTCTGGTGCCCTTCTCGATACTGCCGCAAAGGGAAATGTTCCCGTGGAGCACCTGACGTACATCCAGACGCTTCGCAAGCTCCGCGAACGCGAGTGCCGCAATCTTTGCCAAGTTGTCTCGTTAAACCTGATGCTAGCCAAATTACAACTTGGTGAGCAATTGGAACCGGCCGTGCAGGAGCTGTACAAAGCCCGCCTCGTCGAGATGGAGGAGATGAGCTTCTTCAACGCCCTGAAACCCGCGACGCCTAAAAACTCCTCCACAACCACGCCGGCAGTACGCACCTTGGCATCTCCCACAGTTTCTCCCTTCCGTGTCCGCCGTAGCAAGTGCAGGACCTTACTTGCCAAACATTTCGGCATGGTTGCCCAACCCAAAACTAACAACAACAACCCCCAGGGGCTTATTAAATGCCGCCGCCGCCCCTTTGCCCAGACTGCTGTGGTCATGACAGTGGATGATCTCGCACGTTCTCTGGTCGTTTCTAACGTCGCGTCCTGCTTGACCTCATCACTGAACTCGCCCATGGCCTCGTCAAAAACTTCATCACCCCCTTCGCCTCGTCATCACGTCGCGGTACCCATAATGCCCATCGCAGGCGCAAATTCTTTGGGCGTATCTTCATCCACATGCATGAATTTAGACATCAGAAACGACGAGGATGAGGACGACGATGTGCCGTTGGCGGTGTTGAAGGATCATTTAGGATGGAGAGTGCGCGGTGTTGGAGAGTGTAGGAATTGGCGGGGATGAAAACGGGAATGCGGATTTCGGCACAAACCCAAACCCATCGGGCCGGTGTGTGTCAGTGGAGGATGTGGCAAGTGAGCGATGGTTACAGTGTAATCACTTGATGGAACAGGCCCATGTGATAAGAACATTTACTCTACTGATGGCTGCTTCAATTGAAAAAAAAAAAAGTCTTTCAATTACTATATATTCTTATTCTTCTCAGGCGCTAACGTTTACCAACAGATACATTTCACCATTCAAACTTGGTTCTTCCCCCGGTCCTATCTGTATTGTAAATAGATTAAAAAAGGGGGGAAAGAAAGAAAAGGGAAAAAAAAAAAAAAGGAAAAAAAAAAAAAAGACAATGCAGCAGGTAATCTCCTTTCCCCCGCTCACTCTTCCCACGACAACAAAAAAGACATCCACAAAATTTCGCATTTCTCTTGTATTTGTTTATACTTTTAGATTATTTTAATTTTATTTTATTTGGTTCTTGCATGGATGCCTAATCCAGATTGATCGTGTACAGATTCTTGAGGGTTTCCCCTTTTCTTTTTCTTTTTTCTTTTTTTTTTTTCTCTTCCTTTTCTTGCAGGCCGTATACCCTCGGCCTCATGCCTTGAAAATTATAATAAATGTAGCCTTTTCACTTCACTTTGATATTGATTTCTCGGACTGGGATTTTCTTCCTCTGTTCACGATTTGTCGTTCATTTCATTGACCTAAATACGATCATTATTCTGCTTCCAGTATTAGTCCGCCGAATCGCTTTGTCGCACGTTGTACACTGCACGTATCATGAATTGCGTGATGGATGGTTAGAATTAGTTCAAAATCGTGCTGCTGATCGTCGTTTTCGATACCAACACGGGTTTTGTTTTTGCGTTTTTTCTTTCTTTTTCTCTTTTCCTGCTGGTATTTGCTCTTTGTGTTACAATTACCTTCGGCCCAACCAGCCCTGATACAATCATACTGACCACTTGTATGTTCTCCAAACACAGACACCTCGGATCCGGGTAAGTAATAAGTATATATGTATATACGATTACGTGAAACCTAAATGGTGAGTTGGCCGAGCGGTCTATGGCGCTGCGTTCAGGTCGCAGTCAGTGAAAACTGGCGTGGGTTCAAATCCCACACTCATCATAAATTTTTCTTCTTTCTCGTCTTCTCGTTTACGCTGGCCCTACGCCTATGTAATGTTCTGGCGCGGGCGCTAGCATTTGTCTCTATCTCTTAGAAAGTGGCCTCACAGTTGATATACTGAAATCATTTAGTTAAATTCTTTATATTGGCCGCAAATATTCTATTGTGTTTTTTTAATTCGATGGGGTGGGAAAATATGGCGCCTTTAGCCAACGACGCCGTTCTTGATATTGTATCATAGATTTTGTTTTGACGCAAAGGCCCTCAGACATTTTTAGTCTCTTTTTTTTTTTTTTTTTTTTTTTTTTTTTTTTTTTTTTTTTTTTTTTTTTTTTTTTTTTTTTTTTTTTTTTTTTTTTTTTTTCGCCTGACCTGGTTTTTGTGCCGTTTACATTGCTCCAAACCTAGATATCAGCACAGCAACTTACCACGAAAAACTGGCGAATCCCAAAATACACATTGGTATGCTCCACTCTACTTAAGGCCCTGACCTTAAGGCACACGTCTGTTTGCAGAAGCTGCGTCCGCCCTTTTGTGCGTGAAATCCCGATTACTTCAGATCCCCCCTCCTGTTCGTGGTTAACAATAGGCGAAAACCTCGGGCAAAAAGACATTGGCATATAAGTAAGGTACACGCGCTTCAATTCTAGCTTTATCGAGATCGACTACACACGCACCTGGCTGATCCTTAGTGGGGGCTGAAGCTTTCGTAAGAACTTAAGATGGCACGTTCTTATGGTTATAAAATTACTGTTAAGTCGTATACATTAGAGAGAATCAGTTTATTCAAGAATTATGTCTAGTCAAGACACTACATATTTAGATGGGGTATCTAGGGTATTCATGTGTGTAATTCGGCAAGGACAAAATGGAGCTCATCGTATTTTCCCCTCATTTTGTTAATGTGCCGTTGTTTCCATAACCACGCCAACTCGACATATCTGACAAATTGGGTTTGCTCCAAGTGCACAAACCCAATCGACCCAGATAATGGTCGACGATTGGTTTGCTGCCTCGATCTTGCTCCGTTTCTGGCTTGAATACGATGTCATAAAAAAAAGGCCAATTGGACCTATTCGTCAGGGGTTCAATTTGAATCATAAACTTCAGTTGGGTGGTCGTACAACAGCAGCAAAAAAAGTAGTGCCTGGCTAATGCTTCCCTCTTACGTACATTGACGAGCCTCATTGGCGTGTTTTTTAAACCAGGCCTTGCATTATAAGTGCCAACACGTTCAATAACCAAACACTTGCAAAAGGAACAAAAAAAAAAAAAAAGGATGTCGTGACCAATGAAGAAAAGAAGGGGAAAAGTAAATGCGGATTCTAACAGCGTGATGCCACTTTCCGTCATGTTGTTTACTTGCCATAATTATCCGTTCGGCTTGAAAGTAACCCGGAAAGTGAAATGATGTCTGCTGGTCTGACTACCAAAAGATGGCCGCAAAGGCTAGTCATCAATCCGCAATACCATTCCAAGCGATAAACCAATTTAACGAAACGACCTGACTGAGGAAATCCATCAAGTTCAATGGGATAGTAGCAACCAGTCGTTAACTATCAAAATCAGAGTTTTGTGATACTTCGACATCTTTGCTAATTAAGACATGCTATGAACACCACGAGCGTTGTCTTCCAATAAGCACATGCTCAATAAATCCTCCGATCCATCACAACGAAAATGGAGAATGGATAACAAATATTTATTGTGGCTGATACCAGCATTACCGCTTTTTGGGCCCCCAAGCATGTAGAATTAAGGAGGTTCATGCTAAACGACGAATCCAGTAACGTCATTGAAGTCGAGTAGGTATCCACCAAGAGAACTCGAAGCTCGATAAAAAAGTCGAAAGAAGCCGATAGTGATTAGGGATAGCGTTAGGGTAGTAAGAGAGGGTAGAAGGGAGAGGGGGCGGATTCCAAGAATGATGGCGTACGTGACAACGTTCTCTTGGATGACGTCTTCTGACCAAAGGATGGGGTCACATTGTCGATATTTGTAATCGATGTGATTCCGTAATTCGTCAAGGAAATTGAGTGGAGTCAGTTTGTTGGTGAGTTGTTTGAAGATGTGTGGGGGCAGGGTGGGTGGGTGGGTGGGTGGGTGGTGGTGGCTGTATGAGATGTGAACGAGCCAGTGACTAAAAAAGGGCACTGCTTCTGTAGGAATGTTCTGTCACAAGATTTGCGGGACCTTCCTGCGTGGTGGTATAATTACTGACGGAACCGAAAATGATGTCGTTGGTGGACGTGGAGATTATGGGGTACACTTGACGAAATCGGTCAGTGGAATGTTCGTAATATTATAGTTAAGGAATTGGGGGGTGAAACGTGCCCAAGGCAGACATGGTGGCCGTCGCCGCAGACATAATGAGGCTCGAGATTTGTAAATGAGATGAGCGTTGTGCACGTGCCCATTAGTTCTTGGTCTTGCGACGGCGGGAGGAACCGAACCATTTTGAATTCTTGCGTTGTGGGTCTTGCGGCGCTTGCGGCACTTGCGACACTTGCGGCGGTGTCGTGGGTGGGGGGGTGGGGGGAAGCGGCGGAATGGTGTATGGGACATCATGTTCGCTACCGACGACGGGCAAGGCATCGTCGTCGCCACCGTTTGCCCAAACCCTCTGCTTGCGGCGGGCCTCCTCGAACATGCCGAACCAGTTTTGAGGCACCGGATATCTGAGAGACTTGCGCCACATTTCGATGGAGGGATTCCCAGTACTGTCAAAAGCGTCGAAGGCAGAGAAATCGCCAGGGAGATAACGCGCCTCGGACCAACGCATGGGGACGGCGTCCTCACGGAGGAGGTTGAAGCAGCACATGTCGTCGTTCCAACCCTCGAAGAGGGCGAGCTTGACAGAGTTGATCTTGAGAAGGTACAGCTTACCCTGCTGCAGGTCCTCAGGCTCGAGGGGCACGGCCTCCTTCATAGGGATTTCCTCTTTGACTTTGGGCATGACTATGAGAAGTGTTTGGGGGGTGGGGGGTGAGGGGGAATGGGAAAGATAGGAAGAGAAGGGGAGAGGGGTGGAGGGGATTTATAAAGGAGGGGGATTGAAAGAATCGGAGTGGGTGCCGTTTGTGACTTTTGGATGCGATCAAATATATTGGCTCATTCTTCGGTCAATGGATCGGGCCCGGGGGATCGCCCCAGCGTGTGTGACAATGATCGACACTCCCGAGCCTCCCCCTCCGGCAATCGGTCTTAAATGTCGTCCCCCTTCCGACAACGCCTTTGCGGCCAATTCGGCCAGGAACACTATGAACCCGCATCCAAACATGCTCGACAGTCGCCCCATTTGGGAATGGCTCCCTGCCATATTTCGCTCGCTTTGTCAAACGTCCCGGATAAGCCAACATGCGAGGACTTCTAACTCGGCACCTCGACTCGTGTCTTTCCACGAGTGCTAAGGAGCAATATAGAAATCTGAGCCTTCGATGATTGATAACTTGCTCGCCGTCATATATCAATTACGTCAATTGAGGCCAGCGAACAGACTGTCGATCCGCAAAGGTGATCCAAGGGCGTTTTATTTATTTTATTTTTGTACCAGATCGCCGCCGCTTGGGCATCTCAAATGGCATGGTCAAATCTTTACCCGTCATTTTTTTTTTTTTTTTTTTTTTTTTTTTTTGGCCTCCTCTCCACTCAATCAGTGAGAAAACCGCGCTTATTCAATCTTGTGATTTATTTTTATTTTTATATACGATTGTGTCATGCTCTCCCGCTGCCGCAAGAAAGAAAGACGAAGAAAAAGATCAATACTGATATTCTATTGAGTGTTATAAGACCCTTAATGTCGGAACAAGTATCCGAGCCTGCCATTCAATAATGCAGCCTAATAGGTTTGTGCCCATAAGTTATAGGTGCTAATCTCAGGGGTTGAATTTTCCGAGTGTTTTGTATCCATCGAAAGGGCGGAGCTTCAATGTCTTTCACGTCAGCAATTTTATTCTCATGATTCCAGTTACAATTATGAGGTTACGCTGCAGAAAGAGGACAACCGGAACGGGGATAACCGAGTGCTGGCTAAACTATGAATACATATGCAAAAAAAAAAAAAAATGCAAAAGAAAAAGGAAAAGAAAAGAAAACCGCTCGAGGGCATATCTACAGGTGCATTAAGCTTTCGCAAGGGATGCGCAAACTGGACATTACTATTTATAAAGAGTAAAAGGTGGATATGTAATAGATGCATTTCTTCCAACGCGACTATGCGTGCGCCAGTGTGACGAATGTAGCGTAAAGCCTGAGACGCAGAGCAGTAAAGGCTGTGGAGACCGAGCGATTCGTACTTGGTCTCGCAAGAAAAGAAAAGAAAAAAACAATACATAAATCCTTTCAATGACCAAACTAAACCTCCACAATCTGAATCATGGGTCTAATATATTTCTTGCCTATGCCGCTTCTCCCATCTCCTACCGTCCCCGTTCTCTAAATCGATCTCACCGATTCCAATGGTACCTTCTTCTTCGGTATGTCCGATGATATCGATGGTCTTCCATCCGACGACGAAACCGACGCCCTCAACGACCCAGTCGACCACCTCGCCGGAGGGCTTTGCTTCACGCGAAGGGATCCAGAGAGGCGCGATACAAAACGACGAAGGCCAACCTTATCAACTTTATCAACCTTTTCGGGGATAACCTCGGCCTTTGTCGGAGGCAAGGGTGCAGTGTCGACGGAATCGGTGGCAGGTGATCGAGAGATGAAATCGCTGAATCGGCCGTTGATACGGCGCTGTTTTTGAGGGGGGGGTGGTAAGGGTTTGTTTGAGGAGTCGTTGGTCGCTATCTCGGGTTGGGCAACATTCGAGAACAACTCGTCGCATTCCTCGGCGAACGATGCGAGATACGAGCTTGTGACGGGGAGCGACTCGTACGAGGTTGTGGTTTCGGTTGCGAGCGTATAGGTGATAGGTTCGGGTGACTTGGAGCGATCCTGCTCTTCAATCGGGTAGGTGGATGGCACGGATGGCAGCGAGGTGGTGCTCTTGAGGC